CAACTGACTGTGACTCCGCATATATCTGATTGATCTATTCTACATGACTATATTCTGGATCCACCAAATGAAATAAGCAGTCCGATTGCATAGGATTAATGTAGGAATTTCTACCTCCAAGAGCAGTAATAGATTAGTTTCGTATGCAATACTGATCCGACATTAAATATATCATCCAATGAAAGACCAAGATGTTATTTTTACCATTAGCTATGCAAAAGATAAGTTCATTGACCTGTACTCCACTTTATATCCTCCATTTAAGGGCTGATCACATATCCACAATCAAATCAAATACAGAAAATAAAATGGGACCAGAAAACAAATACAACGAGGTTTGAGATTGCCTAATTCCCTCAATTTATTAATCATATCACGCCAATTTCTCTTCAGGATTGTACCCCAATTTTTACAAGGTAGAAACTGCCTAATAGCATGCTTGTCTGCAAGACCCTAAATTCTAACCTTTTCTTAATCCTCTACATGGCAGGAAAGGATCACCGAAAATCCCAATGAACAAGAACAATGATACAAGGAATACATATGCTATTTTCGTTTGATTACGGCAGAGCACGACACCGAAATCCCAGCATATGTGAAATGGCAGACGAAATTCACAAGCACAATACACCAGCAATATCCCCAAGAATTCGACACTAGCTACCCAATTGGAAACTATGAATTTCCCAAACCCAGATCCCTATTCGAAGCCAAGAATAGGCCCCGAGTCCGAAGCAGACCACCCGACACACAGCACGCCGCGCCAGAATCAAGAAGGGGGGGTGGGCAAAATCAAGAAACCTGGTGGATCGGCGGGTACATGGAGTTGGTGCAGACGGGGCACTCGAGCAGCTCGTGCACGCTGCTCCCCGGCGCGACGATGCCCCCCGCGGCGGCGGCGGCCTTGGGGTAGGCGGCCGGGCGGGAGGCGGCGGCGGCGGCGAGGAGCCCGCCGTGCGGGTGGAGGGCGAGGCCGACGTCGTCCGCGTCCATGGCGGCGTC